TGATTTGGCCTTTGTTCTTTGCTAATGCAAGATTCACGTCAATTGTAGTCTTTGCAACTTTAAAGTCCAAGTGCTTGAATTTTTCAAGTACTGTCTTAATATAATGAGATTGTGACAATGCCAGACCTTGAGAATTCTTATGGATCTTAATTCTCAGAATTAAATCAGCATTTCCCAAGTCTTTCATATCAAACTTGCTAGTTAGCATACGCTTAGTAGCATTTATGTTGGCAATGTCATTACTCATTATGAGCATATCATCCACATATAAGCAAATAATGATTATGTGATTTGGAACATTTTTAATGTACACACATTTATCACACTCATTTATCTTAAACCCTTTTGACAATATTGTTTGGTCAAATTTCGCATGCCATTGTTTGGGTGCTTGTTTTAATCCATAAAGGGACTTAACAAGTCTACAGACCTTCTTTTCTTTACCTGGAACCACAAACCCTTCAGGTTGTTCCATATAGATTTCTTCCTCCAACTCTCCATTTAAGAAGGCTGCAGCTAACGCTACTAACGTTCGTATGGACGTAATTCTTGTAATTGGAGAGTATGTATCGAAATACTCAAGACCTTCTCGTTGTCTATACCCTTTGACCACAAGTCTTGCCTTAAATTTGTCAATAGTGCCATCATCTTTCATCTTCCTCTTAAAGATCCATTTAGAACCCAACGGTTTATTTTCAGGAGGAAGATCAACCAATTCCCATGTATGGTTGTTCAATATGGATTCTATTTCACTATTGACTGCCTCTTTCCAAAACAAGGATTCCGAAGAAGACATAGCTTCTTTAAATGTTTGAGGCTCATTTTCCAATAAGAAAGTCACAAAATCTGGTCCAAATGAAGTAGACGTTCTTTGACGTTTACTACGTCTTGGATCCTCCTGGTTAAGTGTACTTTCTTTTGTTTCTTCCCGAGGTCGTTTAGATCCTTCACCAATCGACTCACATTCCTTTTTATACGGATATATATTTTCAAAGAACTCAGCATTATCTGATTCTATAACCGTATTATTATGAATGTCGGGATTTTTTGATTTATGAACCAGAAATCGATATGCTTTACTATTAGTTGCATATCCTATGAAAACACAATCAACGGTCTTCGGTCCTATTTTTACCCTTTTGGGTTTAGGAACTTTCACTTTTGCCAAACACACCCACACTTTAAAATAATTCAAGTTGGGCTTCCTTCCTTTCCATTTTTCATATGGAATGGATTGTGTTTTGCTATGGGGTACTCGATTTAGTATTCGGTTAGCCGTAAGAACGGCTTCCCCCCACAAGTTCTGTGGCAAACCAGAACTTATCAATAATGCGTTCATCATCTCCTTTAATGAACGATTCTTTCTTTCTGCAATCCCATTGGATTGGGGCGTGTAAGGGGCCGTTGTTTGATGAATAATTCCATATTCTAAACATATTTGTTCAAAAGGAGATTCATATTCACCACCCCTATCACTTCTTATCATTTGGATTTTCTTGTTAAGTTGCGTTTCAACTTCATTTTTGTATTGCTTGAATGCGTCTATTGCTTCATCTTTACTATTAAGTAAGTAAAAATAGCAATATCTAGTACTATCGTCAATAAAAGTTATGAAATACTTCTTTCCACCGCGAGATGGTATTGACTTCATATCACAAATATCTGTGTGAATTAAGTCTGAAGGATTTGAATTCCTTCAACTGACTTATAAAGATGTTTAACATACTTAGATTCCACACATACTTGACATTTTGATTTTTCACATTCAAACTTAGGCAATACTTCCAAATTAATTATTTTCCGCAAGGTTTTATAATTGACATGACCCAAACGTATATGCCATAATTTATTTGACTCAAGTAAGTAAGACGAAGCTGAAATTTTATTATTATTTTCAACAACCATTACATTCAGCTTGAAAAGGCCCTCGGTGAGGTAACCTTTTCCTACAAACATTTCGTTCTTATTTATTACAACCTTATCGGAACAAAAACACATTTAAAACCATTCTTAACAAGAAGTCCACCAGAGACTAAATTCTTCCTAATCTCGGGAACACGAAGGACATTGTTCAAAGTCACGACTTTGCCGGAAGTCATTTTTAGAAATATCTTCCCACATCCTTCAATCTTGGCCTTTGAAGCATTTCCCATAGAAATCGTCTCATCGGGTCCAACAGGAGCATAAGTAGCAAAAGCTTCTTTAACAGCACAAACATGGCGAGTGGCTCCATAATCAATCCACCACTCTTTAGGATTGCCCACCAAGTTGCATTCGGAAAGCATGGCACATAAGTCATCAACATCATCATGCTTTTCAACCATGTTTGCTTGACCCTTCTTCTTGTCTTTCTTCGGATCACGACACTCCGTAGATTTGTGTCCGGTTTTTCTACAGTTGTAGCAGTTTCCACTGAACCGCTTCTTGCTTGGGTTGTATTTCGGTCCAGAAGCCTTCTTCCTCTTTTTGTTCTCTTTAACAATATTTGCTTCCATTATTATTGAGTTTCCACGGCCTCTCTTTTCAGCAGCTTTGTTGTCCTCTTCGATTCTCAACCGAACAATGAGATCTTTAAGGGACATCTCCTTGCGTTTGTGTTTCAAGTAGTTTTTGAAGTCCTTCCACAAAGGAGGCAACTTCTCAATCATCGCTGCTACTTGGAATGCTTCATTGATGACAAGACCTTCAGCAAGGAGATCGTGAATAATCACTTGCAATTTCTGGACTTGGGTAATAACAGACTTGCTATCTACCATTTTGTAGTCCAAAAACTTTGCAGCAACGAACTTCTTCAACCCGGCATCTTCGGTTTTGTATTTCTTTTCAAGCGCAGTCCAAAGTTCTTTTGACGTTTCCACGCCACTGTAGACGTTATACAAAGCATCCTCCAGCCCGCTTAGAATATAATTCTTGCACAAAATATCTGAATGCTTCCACGCCTCAATCACGAGAAAGCGTTCAGTTTCTGGAGTTTCATCGGACAGCACAGGAACATCTTCCTTGATGAACTTCTCGAGACTTAGAGTAGTCAAGTAGAAGAACATCTTTTGCTGCCAGCGCTTGAAATCAATCCCGAAAAGTTTTCCGGGTTTCTCCGCCGGTGCCAATGCTGCCGGTGTCGTTCGGCTTGTTGAGGCATTGGCAGTCACCATTGGAACAACTTGGTTCACATTATCATTAGTCATTTTTGTAAAAGAATGACACAAGCGTTAAAATCACGTAGATTTTAATAGAGTACAAAACCACACAGGTTTTACTCTCCAGAAACAGTGAGTACAAATACAGAAAATATATTAAATTCCTTAAGCTTGTTAGTATAGTGTATTTGTAAAATAATTTTGGAAATATAAATGAACATAAACAGAAATGAACAACGAAATAACAGAAAACCAATTCGAGCCCACTGAATTCACAGTGTTTCATTAAGGAATTTAATCCCCTCCTAGTACCCAAGGTTATGGATTATTTCCTCCCAGGATAGAACGAATTACACACCGGTGTAGTGGTACTTCAAACCCCAGTGTTTCAGCGAACACAAAGTTCAGTAGCAAATCACACTTACTGTTGCTTTGTTTGATGCTAAAAGTATGCAGAAGAAGGGGGAGAAACTCAGAAAATCGTATGGAAATTCTGAGCAAACTAGTGTTGTATTTATAGCCAAAGTTGGGCTGAAATCTGAAGTGGTGCAACTCTTCAGAATGGCTGTTTATGCAAAACGGCCACAACATAAATGCCATTACATAAATGGCTATTTACTCAACAATAAAGAGGGAAAATTGAAGAGGGTAGTTAATTTTCTGTTACCAAAACAGAAAAATGGATTGGAGGATTTAATATTAATATTTATTTTAATATTAATATTATGTTATTAAAACAAATATTTAATAATATTTCTGTTAGTATTTTACTATTAACAAATAAATTTGGTCCAAAAAATTAATCAATCAATCGATCATTTGACCAAATCCAAATCCAAATTTAAATTCAAATTCAAATCCGAATCCGAATCCGAATCCGAATTCGAAGCCGAAGCCGAAGCCGAGCCGAGCGAGCGACGACGACGACGGTGCGAGGCTTACCTTCTTCTCAACTCTTTAAGAGCTAGAAGAAGAGCAATTGCTTATATACCCATAAAAAACCTCTTCCTCTTCCAATATGGGACAATGTCCCTTTACCAAGGGGAGAAACTTAAAATTTCACTCAAAAGTTTCATTTCCCTCCATTTTTCATTCACCCTCTTTTAAGTATTTAATATATTAAATACATAAAAACCCAACAGTATCTCCCATATCTCCTCAGATCTTCCACCATCATCTCAAATGCTTAATGGCATATTTATGTATTCTTTTGGTATACCTATATGTAGTACTATAAATAGAGGATGAGAAGTCATTTTGTAATAGACTTGAACATTTGATGAAATAAGAAAGTTATCTCTTATTCTACTTATCTTCTTGTTTTATATTGTTACTTTGAGCTACATTTCTTAACACCTTATCAGCACGAATTGCTATATTCTTCTTATATTTTCCATAAGAGATTAAAGTCTTCCATGGGTGCTACAACCTTGAATCAATTTGGTTGAGACTGTGAAAATTTGGGCATTTCATTGCCATATCAATGTTGTGTTTGCTTCTGTTTTACAGGGAGTATCATTTTTCAGTTGCTATGAATTTTGCAATTAACTTACGTTAATATTTAAGACTTGGTTTAATTGTGTTACTTAACAATTTAGTTTCATTTGTGCGGATGTACACATATGGAGTACCTGCTTTAGAGTGACAAACAAGAGCATATTATGATGCCTTGACATCATCTCCCATATGTACTGCTCCGACAGTTTGCAAGCCAAGATTATGAAATTGTTAAATATTGAGAAGGTTCCTAATTAATCTTAAAAAATAATAAGAATTTAAATTTTTGTTGTGGTCAAAATAAATTTTATATAACTAAGATAGTTTTATTCCCTTTGTATTTGGTCATGTGGTTATATGAATATGTCATTGGACAGGAAGTTTGACCTCAATTCCCATGTCTTTGATCAATCCCAATAGCCATGTTAGTTCTTCAACTGTGGATGCTAGACTTCTATATTCAGCTTCTGCAGGGCTTCTAAAAGTTGCACTCTGCTTCTTTGACTTCCAAAATATTAGAGAGTCACCAAACGTAATGAGTAAACCTGTAGTAGACTTTCTGGTATGAGGGCAAGCTGCCCAATCTGCATCATGGTATGCAGTAACTGTGTCCTTATTACAACTTGACAATATAATACATTGTCCTAGCTGACTTTTCACATATCGTAGTACTCTTAAAGCATCCTCCATGTGAGATTTCTTAGGACTTTACAATAACTGACTTAGTGTTTGGACATTGTATGCTATGTCAGGCCTTGTTACTGTAAGATAAAGAAGTTCTCTTATAAATGTCTGATAACTTCTTACATCAGGTAATAGTTCATCTTGCTCTTTGTTGTTAGTCCCCACTCCAGATATAAGTTCTAGAGCATATTTTCTCTGATGCATCAACATACCCTGCTCTAATCTAGCAAATTCTATACCAAGAAAGTACTTCAGGTCTCCTAAATCTTTCATCTTGAAGGCTTATTGCAGTTTTTTTTGTCTCAGTAATAGGGCTCAATTGTGTGCTAGTGATCAGCAGGTCATCAACATAGACTAGTATAAATGTGATGCTACCCTCAACCTTCTTGACAAATAAGGAATGGTCATGCTGAATCAACAGAAAGCCGAAGCTAAGTAGTGCTTCTGTTAACCTGGCATTCTATTGCCTTGGTGCTTGCTTAAGACATACAAGGATTTTATGAGCCTAAAAACCGGTCTTGACTCCCCATGGCTCTTAAATCCATGTGGTAAGTCCATATTAATCTCATCATGTAAATCCCCGTGTAGGAATGCATTGTAGACATCCATTTAGCGGATGTGCCATTTCGTGGCAACTGCAATTGCTAAGACAGTTCTAACTGTGACCATCTTGACTAAAGGAGAAAAGGTTTCCTGATAGTCAATACCTTCTTGTTGGTTGTATCCTTTTGCAACCAGCCGGTCTTTGAATCTTTTAACCTCTCATGTGGTCTTGTATTCGACTTTGTAGATCCATTTCCAACCAATTGGGTGTTTACCAGCTGGTAGAGACACAATGTCCCGTGTATGATTGTCTTCAATTGCAGCAATCTCAGATTTCATTATTTCTATCCACTTGGGATCTTTACTGGCTTCTTCATAGGTAGTGGGCTCCACAATAGAGGGGAAGGTTGCTATGTAGGCTTGATAATTGGGAGTCAACCTCTCATATGACACATAAGTGGATATGGCATAGGGAACATTTTTGTGAACATTGAGGGTAACAAAATTCTTTAACCAAATAGGAGGATTATTCTCCCTAGTGGATCTTATGATAGTGCCAACATCGTTATTCTCCATTGGAGATGGTGCAGTTGAGTTGTGGAGTCTCTCTCACTAGAAGATTTTTCATTTGAGGTATCACTCATGCTAAGAGGGGTACTGTTAAGATTAACAATAGAAGACTCAATAGACGGACGATTAGGATTAACAATAGAAGACTCAATAGCTGGTTTGTGTGTAGGACCGATTTGAGACTCAACAAGTGAGTTTTAATTTCATTTGGGACATAAACAGGTGCAAGAGATGAGGTTCTTATTTGAAAAGGAAACACCTGTTCTCTGAAGGCCACATCTCTATTAACAAAGAACACATCGCTAGACAAATCATAGAGAACACATCCTTTTGGAACATCTGAATACCCCATATGGACTGCCATTCTTGTTATGGGCTGAAGTTTGTCAGTTTCCTGCAGAGTCTTTCCTACCATACAACAACTCATAAGGAGGTATGCCTCCAGTTACTAGTGAAGGCATGCAAGCACACAATGGCCCCAAACTTAAGAGGGATAAAGGCTTGAAATTTGAGTGCCATTTTTACTTCAAGATTGTGCCTATGCTTTATCTCAGCAACTCCATTATGCTGAGGACTATATGCACAAGTTCTATGAATAATTCCAATTTCTTAAACACATCCTCACATACTCTGTTAACAAATTCAGTACTATTATCAGTCCTCACATCTTTAACTATTTTGGTGAACTGAGTACTCACATACATTAAAAACTATTGGAGGGCCACACAGACATCCGTCTTGAGTTTTAACAAGAAAAGCCAAGTCATCCTAGTATAGTCATCAACAATTGTCAAAAAGTATTTATTACCATCAAATGTAGAAGTTTTGTAGGGCACCCATACATCCACATGAATCATGTCAAATGCACTACTACTTTTAATGCTACTAGGTGGAAATGTAAGTCTAGGTTGTTTAGCAAAAGGACAAACAACACACTTATTGACAATAGCAGATATATATGATAAGGTACAGGAAAACATTTTCTTTGGAACTGCAGAGGAGACATGGTCAAGTCTTATGTGTCAAAGAGCAATGTCCACTTTATTCCATGCATTGTAAGTTTGAGCTGCTAATGTTATTGCCACAATTTTCTAGGAGGTTGATTGAGTAGATAGTGTAAGCACGTGATTTTTGCCCTATACGAAGTACTCCTACAAAATCTAAGAAAATAGATTTTTTTTATTTATTAATTATTTGCCATTTTTAAGAATTTTTGTAGATTTTTATTAATTGTTTATATTTTTCTTGCTTGTTTAATTTTATTTAATTCATGAAAAATACAAAAATACATTGTATTTGCATTTAGGACTTAACTTTATATATTTAGATTAATTAGTAAATTAGTTATTTTATAAAAATGAAAAAATCACAAAAATAGTTCATTTTTACATTTTTTGTCTTTTAATTTTAGTTTATTGATTTTTCTCTTTTAATTTAGAATTAAGTGATGTTTACAATTTCTATAATTAGTTAATTAGTTTAATTTCACATTTTAGATAATTTAGGAATTTTTAATTACTAGGTTTTTAATTTAAAAAAAAAAGAAAAGAAAAGAAAAGAAAAGGAATTTAGAAATAATGGAAGACTTGGAAAGAATGGGAATTGGGCCATCTTCAAACACCCAAATTCGGCCCAATTTCCTCCCCCGTATACAATTAAACCTTCAGCCTAATGGACCCTCTTCCCACCGGTTCAACCCAACAAGAAACGGACTGACCCATTAATCGACCCGCCCGTTTTTCTTAATATACCCCCCCCCCCCCCNCCGTTCTTCTTGATATAAAACCCCCCTTATAATATTTCCCCAAATTCCCTAACCCTAGAGAGAAAATCAGAAGCGGCGCTACTGTTCTTCTTCTCCACTGAGCTCGACCTCAACTCGCCTGAGTTCGAGCTCACTCACTCAAAACGGTACCCCTCTCCACGTCACCTCTATTTCCCAACGGATTTGTCAGAGAGGAGTACGATTATTCCCTCAAAATCGCGAATTTTTGTACAAAAGGACAATTGTTGGACGAATGGGAGCCGTGGATAGATGTGAATCAATCCACGCCCTCCATTTGTCCCAAAATTGTTCAAAAATCTGAAGATTTTTTCGGACTTGGGCGGATTTTTGAAAGTTTTTGAAGGCTATATATATGAGGTAAGTCTTATATGCTAGACAGAGAGAAAAAAATAGAGGAAAAATCAGAAAAATCGGAGCAGAATTTCTAGGGTTTTGAAGTTCTTCTTCTCTCTTCAGTTTTTTTTAGTCAGCGAATTTCTTAGGAAAAGAAAAGAAAACGAAAATGTACAAAGGCATATCCTGAGGTTGTTTGTCTTAGTCCATTTTCAAAAAAAGAAGAATCAAAAAAAAAAAATTAATTACAAATCTCAGCTTTCTTCCTTGATTCCTAGTTTTCCCAGAATGGTTCTTGAATCGAAGTTTTAAATTGGAGTTTGTGGCTGGGTTTTAAATTTCGGCACTTGGTTGATTTCTGTCCGGATTTGTTTTCCGCGATTTGGATTTGGTCAGCTGCTCCTGCTTAACGTTGTTGCTGTTTGGCTGAAATTTGGCTGAGCTCTGTCAATCTTTGTTCATCTGTGGTTTCTAATTTGGTGGCCGAGTCGGCGAGTCAAATTTAGCTAAGGTCCGTTTTATTTTTTTTGTTAAGGTTGAATCTTCAATTTTGTTTCATTTTGTGATAGCTCCTGTCAAGCTTGAACTAAGAATGATTTGGTGTATATCTCGATTTCTTCTCTGTTTTGGACATGTTGCCATTTTTATGAGTTGGGATATTCAGCATGTTAATATATCAAATATTCATGGTTTGATTTCTTCTTTTATTTGTTAAATGAAATTAGATGCAGTTGAAACAATTGCAGAAGTTATAGAAGTTATATATTAGTTTGTGGATATGGAAGATAGATTATTTCGTACATGTGAATTTTGAATCAGTGGATTTTCGTAACAATTCAGGCTTTAGTTAAGTCCAATCCACAATTTTGGCCATGAATAATATTGTTGCTAAAGATTCAATTGTTTAAGCATCTTCTATTAAGTTATTAGATAATAGTAAAGCAAGGTAGTTTTTCTCAAACTTTTAAATAGCTAGGCTTTTCTGTTAGATGACTGAAATTTTGCTTCCCACTATCTCCTATGCTTTATTTATTTTGGGTGTCATTTTCCGTTGAAGAATTGGTTCTACTGGATAAATCATAAACCCACTTTGAAACCACTATTTTGATACATTCATTGGATTTGAGTTCAGTGATGAGAAAGCAGGAGCTGCATACTCTTTGAACTAGCTCACTAAAAAAAACTCTGTTATGCTTCACCGATTCATGATTTGAAGTTGGCCTATAATTAATTTTCTGTTATTAAACCGGAAATTACAAAATCAAGACAATTCTATTATTTGAGATTAATTTGATCGTTCTTGTTTCATTCTTCCATGTGCGAGACCAAGAAATGCTTTGTAGATCGTGATAAATTTTGGCCTCTTAAATTTTCTTTCTTGTTTGCCTACATGGATATTTGAACATGATTTTTTTATCCTAACTCTGTTGTGACACTTTAATATAGGGGTGTCCATTCGAATCGGTTTATCGATAAATTGAATCGATTATTTGTTATTGAAATCGAAATCGAAAAAATCGAAACCTTATTGAAACGATAACGATAAGCATATGAACAAATCGATAATCGATAAGGGTCAAAATCGAATCGATAAATCGAATGCACACCCCTAGACTGTAGACACTTGTTAAATGAGTAATTACCTATTTGTGTAGATTAATATAACATACAGAATGTATATATATTTCGCTACTATTTTGAAAGCGGCTATACAATATTATTTTTCCTAATCTATACCATTTCCTTTACCCTAAGTCCGTTACTCTATTATTTCCTCTACCACATTTAAGGAATGATCATATTTAAAGATCAAGGGAATGAAATTCAAATTAATGGAAAACAGAATTAGCCGTGATGATGTGTTTTGTTTTGTTTTGTTTTTTTTATACCGTTGGAGTGTTGGTGGCATACATTTGATCCCTTACTTTAGTTTTGTTGCATGTGCTTGTTGACACAATTTTTATATTATAAATGGTGTTCGTCTTATTTTAGCTTCTTTTTGTCCATATTAGTTAGGCGCGTTTATAGCGATATACTTTCC